GGAATTCATGGGTGCCTATGGAGGTACCGGTAAAGCAAGACATGGTGTTACCACTGAAGAAAGGCAAGATCTACTCGCGCTTCCCGATGACTACTCACTGGCCCTTACCATCCCGGCCAGTATCAAAGATGCACCAGGGTTGGCATCCGTCTTTCGAAGGAAGTTTGGTCGAGTTGCAGAACTTCAATGCCAAGTGCCAGCTCCTGGTAAAACCTTGAAACTTCAAGATGCATCACGTTACCTTTTCTACCTGGTAACAAAAGACACTGCCCGTGACCAACCTACCTACCGAGATGTATGGGAAGCCTTACTTCAGTTGAGAGAGCACGTACTAGAGTCCGACGTGCAAAAGTTAGCCATGCCAAAGTTGGAGTGCCGCCAATTAGATTGGAGGGTTATACGAAACATGGTGGAGGAAGTCTTTAAAGACACCGAAGTCCAGGTGTTAGTCTGTTGCAATCCGCATAGTTACTGCTGCGGAGAGAAAACCGTCCCTTGTCATTTCTATACAACTGGAAGTTGTAAAAGAGGGTCCAGTTGCCGATATCAGCATGTCGTTCCGGTTCCAGTCCCGACAAGGTTCCAGGAGGAACCATCTTTTAAGAGGGGGGCAATGTTACGATTTTAAATGTTATGGCATATAGAACTGTAAATATTTTATGACTAATTCTTTTTATTGATTCTCGTAATTTGTAGGTCAAAATATACCTGAGCTTAGCTACCAGTTGTTTACCAGAAATCTCTAGACACTAATTTTGGTGAATCATCCACGTCTCGAGGTTGAAAAACGAGTCGAGCGCCTTCACCAAAATACGAGACTATTCAAGAAGTCCGCCGAATTCTCTGGATGACACAGTTGTGTATATAAATGAAAGATTTTTATTTGGCAGTCAGTCATAAGAAGATCGGTAAACGCGGTACTTGTAACGAAACGAAAATAAATTATTTGTAATATAAATTAGAATTAATAAAGACTTTAATAAATTCGTAATTAGTTATCGTGAGTTTTAATAAATTAGAATATAGACAATAAATTAGAATAAAGACAAATAAATTAGAACTATATAAATATACAACAGATAGATGTATTAAAAAATATGATACTTCTTATACAATTAATGATAATTAATAGTCTTATGTAAAAGCAATAAAATACTTAGGAGTTACATTTGATGAACAGTTTCGTTTTGTACAACATATAAATGATTAATTCATTGTAACAATTAATTCATTAAACACTTTAGGCTTTATCATTCGCAACTGTTTGAGACTATCTGTTTGTACTTTAAGAACAGTTTATTATGCTTTAAATTGATATAAGGTTGAATGCTGAAATAAATGAACTTTTATAAATAAAAGACTCTCATACGTATTAAAAAATAAAAATATATCTCAAAGACTGCGACCAAAGTGTTTAATTCCTGTATCCTACCTGTGCTTACATATGGAGTTCAAATCTGGACATTCACTAAAATAAACATGGAGAAGACCAGAAAAACTCAGTGAGCTTTGGAACGACAGATGCTGGGTATCTCACTCAAAGACCATAAAACGAATGAAGACATTCGTAATAGAACAAAAGTAAAAGATGCTGTCGAACAGGCAGCTAAACTGAAATGAAAATGGGCTGGACATAACGAACGTCTTACGTATGGCCGATAAAATAAAGAAATCGGAAATTGGCGGCCATATGAAGCGAAAAGACCACGAGGAAGACCGCAAATGCGATGGAGCGACTATATTAAAAAGAATTACAGGGCCAATGTGGAAACGCCTTACAAACAACAGTGATGAATGGCGAGAATTAGGAGATGCCTATATTCGGCAATTCGAATAGAGAAAAGGGCTTAAAAAAATATGTTTTTACCCCTCATATTTTTGTGAATTGTATGGACTTATTTTAATAAACTATGTATCATTTAAAATTATTGATACGTTTAATTTCTGCCTAATTTTAAATATCAGTGAAATGTAAATATATGATACAAAAAAACTACTCTTTCTTATTTGTATTATAAACGAAATAAAATCATGCTATAACCACAAATAAAAGAATTTTTATTTTTAATTTCAGCAGACTTACATTAAATAGTTTTAAATACTAAAGTTGACCAAAGCCTTCAATTAATATTGCTGGAACCGGATTAACAATCTTTGCTATTTAGCTCCCGGTCCCAGAAACGCTTAATCCGACACGAAATATCAGATTTCTCATAAAGTGATTTAAAAAATAATAATAATAAAAACAATAAATTATAAATAATAAAATATTAAAGTGATGGAATTAAGCAGTCCTTCCATGTACTTTAAGAATGTACCTCTCCACATGACGTCACTGCGCAGAACAGACGAAATTTAGCACGCTATCGATCATACCTTATTTTCGTTGTACCATGGGTGTGTAGTCTTCAAAAGCCGGCAATTTTTTTTTGTGGAGAGGTGAATCTAATTAAATGCAAATGTGGCAGTTTTGTTGATGTAATCACCGATTTGTTGTACGTGTTGTGTCCTATGTGAGAGATTTGCAAGCAGCGTTACGATTTGAGAGGCCCACATGGTTTCAAGAAGAAGTGTTTGAGAGGCCAAGCTTTGAAGATTGCGGTTTTTGTTCATCCAAGATAATCTGAGACCCGAATCCAGTGACTGACTTCCAAAGAATCGTCTATTTGGTTCTCTGTTCATTTCGGAACAACTTGCAGCTTGTGTAACGCATTTTTGTTATTTTGCAGTGTTTTGGATTCAGTTCCAACTTAGAGTCCAAAAACTTTCTTAAAGGAAATACATCAGACAGTGATATCAAGGTACTTTTTTGTTAATATTTTCCAAAGAAAAAATAAACAATTTTTTATTAATAAAAAATTTGCTTTCAAGACAAGTTAAAAAATTCTAATAATTAAAATTATAAGTTTTATGGATTGGCTAATTATTATATTATTCTTCTTTTAAACGCAAATAATATTAAAATTTTTTTAGTATTTCAAAAAGTTTTGATATTTTATTTTGACATATGACAGTTAGTATTATCCTCTTCATACATTTGGTACATTACCATACATTTTGAATTGTTTTGTTTTGAAGGTTAACCTCAATGTAAGCTTCTTTAAAAAATCTAGATATTTTCAATTTAATAATAATTTAAATTCATTTAGTGTCCCCAACGTCTAGAGTTGGTTGTAAATCGTTACAAATAGCACCATTTTAAGTTGTTTTTAAATTTTGCTATTATTATTTGTAATAATTTTTTATGCTAAAGTAATAATAAATATCTAATGTTTCTCTCTAAACCAAGTATAGTATTATTTCCTTTAAAAAGTTTTTCATCCTTTTATATTTTTTAGGAAAGAAAAGCCGTTCTTTCCATCCAGCAGGAAGGTTCTTGTAAACCGCGTCCAATTTAAAGAGTTTAGGAATCTTTTTATGCTGTGTTGCCCAGGAAATCTATATAAGTACTTTCTGATTTATCTCTTTGTAGTTATTGCATTCTAGCCCCTTTTTTATTCACTTATGCCCGGAATACACGAGGCTAGTTTTTCAAGCTAGGATAGCAAACTAACCCTTTTAAACTAGCAAGCTAGTATTACTAGCAGTATTAGTAAACTAGCTTCGTGTGTAGGCTAGTAAGCTAGTGAGAAAGACAGTAAGCCAGTGCCTTAAGCTAGGATAGTTTAATAGCATGGAGTTCTACTTTGTTAAGCAACTTGCTTCCCCCTCACTGGTTTTACTATCCTGGGGCTTGTGTACCACCCTCGTCTGGCCGGCATAGCTAGTGTTTTCGAACGGCAAGTGCGTAGTGTCGACCTGTTATATTTTTCAAAGAGATAACCACGTGCTTCTAAATCTAATATGCCACAATTATGTGCCGAGATTAATTTACAGTTTGTACAAATGTATCGTGAGGAAAAATGTCTGTGGAACGCCACTATTCCATCATATAAAGATAAGTGTATTTGTGATTCAGCACTACAAAAAATATGTGGCAAATTATTAGAACTCGACATAAAAATGTCTATCAAAGACATAAAAATGAAGATAAAAAATTTACGAGCAACTTACTGTTAGGAACTGTTAACAATTGAAATATCAACCTAGTCTGGAGCAGGTTCCAAGGACGAGTAAGTCAAAATTAAACTGGTTCGATGAAATGCACAGTTTTATTAAATGTGTACCAATGAAAAGAAAAACAACGGTAAGTAAGATTATTTATTTATTTATAGTAAAGAAAATGTGTGTCAAGCCACAGGGAAATTTTGAAAAGTAGGGTGTTTTCTCTATAGTGCACACATAAATAAACAGTCAAGAAATCATTTTTAATTGCCTATGCCCTCACCATCATTGTTAAATTAGGTTTTAAAAGTCTCTCTTCTCGCCATTGCTGACATCGAAGAATGATTACTCCCTTGTTGACATAAGCCTTCAAATCCTGCAGTTTCTGTTCTCCAAGAGCCATGGGAGGTGTTTTCTGCATCAATATATTCCCGGTCGACATCACTGCTGATGCCAATACAATTTTGTTGACTGTTTCTACTTTCTGTTCCAATGTTAAATTGTCACTAGGGTAAGGTTTCATAATGAAGGTTTTTAATGAAAATGCGGCGTCCGTAACAATCACTCCACCCTCTGGAAAAAGATTATTCTCCAATTTGTTATATATGTAGCAATTTTTAAATACACTTCCATCTAATGCCATTCCACAAGCCCCAATATTAACATAACGAAAGCAATAGTCATCATACTGAACACTTTTTTATAATTAAAGTACATACTTCCACTATTACCAGGAGCGATAATTTGAATATATTTTCCATCAATGGCACCATAGTATAAAGGAAACTTCCATCTCTTTCTAAATCCATTTTCTATTTCCGACCATTCTTCGGCATTATTTGGTATCTAAAAAAAATAATAATATACCTTTTTATTATAATTATTACTAAAGTGTTTCTTTTTTGTTGTAGGACAGTCAAGAATCAGCAATATATGAAGAGCAAGATAACAGCCCAATGAACCAAGCCACTGAAAATAATATTGACAACAATGACGATAGTGATACCAGTGAAGACGTTTTACATTCTGAAAATTGTTCATCACGATCATCTACATCTGCGACAGGTAATAAACCACAACGCAACGAGTCTGCGACGAAAACTACGAAAACTACTAGTAAATCAAACGATAAAATGTCAACTCCAACTCCGCAAAAGAGAAAAATTTCAGAAGTGGCATCTTTGGTTACGAAAATAAAGTCGATAAAGAATAATTTAAATAGTACACCTACGGGTGAGCATTCTACACCACACGAAAATGAACATGATATTTTTGGAACTTTTGTGAGTAGCCTACTGAAAATGCACTACTTATCTACTGCACGAGCTATTGTGACTCGGGACAAAATCAATGCTATCTTATCTCAGTCTTGCATGGAAGATCTGAACTACGTAAACACCACATTTACATACCAGACGCCTAGTAGTCATTGCTCTTTAAATTCACACACAACAATTAATACTGTACCATTGCCACTTACATCAAGATAGTAATTCGGAGTTGTCAATAATTACAGAAAATGAAGCTAATAATTATCAACAACAAAATCCAATAGACGAGATTAATTTAGATTTTTTACGCCAGGACAATGAGAATCCTATTGCTTTAGCATTTCGCAATGCACAATTTTTTTATTATCTTATTTGTAATTTTGCGATAAATAAATACAAATATAAAGTTATCATTAGTACTAACCTTTATGTTTTCTTTCAATGCCTTGAAGATTTCTTCACATATCTCTGGTATGAATTTAGATATGGAACACCTTGAAACCCGATAAAAGTGACTCAGTCTTCTGTAACTAATGCCGGATGAAAGAACATCTAAAGTGATTTTCAACTTCACTCTTGCTGGTAAAGTCTCAATCATAATAGTTTGCTGACGTTTTTCCAAAACCAGTGCGGATGATCCACGTTCATTCCTGTTTAAAATCCATGGTCTTGTCCAAACGCGTTTTTCCAATAAAGCTTCTGTTAATTCATCCAATGCAATTCGACACAGTTTCTGAAGTAACTATTTCAGTCGAACATTGTTCTTTAGTTTAGAAATATTTACCATTTTCAGTGGAGTTGTTGCTCTATTGATCTCGCAATAGTACTAGCTACTGGCTGAAAATTTCCTAGCCACATGTAAACCGTTCTAGCATGCGCCAAGCCAGGACAGTAACGAAGCCAGGTGTCCCAACGAACATCTTTATATTTAAGGGGAGCAATTTTTACAAAAAATAATTCTTGGAACATCAACCCAGTTCTGGGGTTTGCAATCCCACACAATTTTATAAATAAATAAATAAATATTTTTTATTTATAAAATTAATTTTATTTATGAAAATATTATTTGAAAATTTAAATACCTTAATATTGTTCTGAAGCTATTTTCTTGTGGCATTGTATATTAATTACTATTTATAACTGGGAATAAGCCACAATTAAAGATAAAAATACGTTTATTGACGTTTCAATTTCCAATTCGGAAATCGTTCTCAAAATACAAACAGTAAATTAAACAAATTTTGTTTTTTTGTTACATAGTGAAGAAATTCTTCTAATAATTTAATTTTATCTGACTCATTTATATTGACAATTCAGACATACATTATGCATTTTAAAGTAGACGACTTTAAAATGATATTGCCAATATTGTTGAGTTGCGCTCCTGGGACGACTTTACTTATAAGATAGTTCATTCGATTACATAAAATCAACTTTAACTTGAGAAAATTCGTCAGAAAAAATCACAGCATGTAATTCGTCTTTAAAAAGACAAACACATGACATGATGACAGTAAAATTCTCCTGTTAGTGATTCCATAGTAAATTATGAGGGAAAAACCAGGAAAAAAACCTCATAATACTATCCCGACATTGTAAGTATTTGTTCGTGAATTTAGTTTACCTTCAACAAACATCAAAAATTCTGATTTTATATGTTACGTTATTTAAAAAACATAAATTATGTATCCTTTATATGTTACTGACTTACTAACACTGGTATTTTCTTATTAATAACTTCCTCTTTCAATATTGGTAACCAGATCCTACTACATTCTGCCGAGGAATTTGCGACACAATTGGCCTCATTTAGCATAATTAGAGCCGCTTCTTTGATTTTTCCTTTTTTACCATCCGTTTCTTTTAGGACTATATTTGAATTATTCCATTGAACCCTATGTTCATTATCCCATGCGTGTTTACATATTTGAGATCTATCAAATTCTCTATTTTTAATATAAGATTGATGTTCACTTATTCTAACATTTAATGGCCTTGATGATTCACCTAAATAAAACTGATCGCATTCACAAGGTATTTTATAAATGCAATTCTTTGTCCTTTCTTGTTAATTGTTAGGTTTGGTTTTGGACAAAATAGATCTCAACGTGTTTATTGTTTTGAATGTTGTTGAAATGTTGAATTTATTTCCTATCCTTTTAAGTTTTTCTGATAATCCTTTTATGTACGGTATTGTTATTTTCCTCATATTATTCCTTGTGTATGCTGTAGGATCTCGTTCTAAGTTATTCTGTTCTATTCGATCGATTGTTGAAAATTCCTTATTTATACACGATAAAGGATAATCATTTTTTAATAAAATAGATGTTAACAAATGTTTCCCCTCCAAGAACGAATTTTCGTTAGAACAAGTAATTTTGGCTCTATCGTATAAGGATTTAATTATTCCCTTTTTTACATTAATATTGTGATTTGATTTGAAATTTAAATATCTATTGGTGTGTGTTGGTTTTCTATACACCTGAGTCTCATATCCAGTATCGTTCTTAGAGATTAAAACATCCAGGAAAGGTAGCGTGTTATTATATTCCTTTTCCATGGTAAATGTTATTGTCTCTTCTTTATCGTTTATATCGTTTAGGAATATGTCCAACAACTCTGATCCATGAGGCCATATTGAGAATACATCATAATACAAGGAATAATATGAGGAAAATAACAATACCGTACATAAAAGGATTATCAGAAAAACTTAAAAGGATAGGAAATAAATTCAACATTTCAACAACATTCAAAACAACAAATACGTTGAGATCTATTTTGTCCAAAACCAAACCTAACAATGAACAAGAAAGGACAAAGAATTGCATTTATAAAATACCTTGTGAATGCGATCAGTTTTATTTAGGTGAATCATCAAGGCCATTAAATGTTAGAATAAGTGAACATCAATCTTATATTAAAAATAGAGAATTTGATAGATCTCAAATATGTAAACACGCATGGGATAATGAACATAGGGTTCAATGGAATAATTCAAATATAGTCCTAAAAGAAACGGATGGTAAAAAAAGAAAAATCAAAGAAGCGGCTCTAATTATGCTAAATGAGGCCAATTGTGTCGCAAATTCCTCGGCAGAATGTAGTAGGATCTGGTTACCAATATTGAAAGAGGAAGTTATTAATAAGAAAATACCAGTATTAGTAAGTCAGTAACATATAAAGGATACATAATTTATGTTTTTTAAATAACGTAACATATAAAATCAGAATTTTTGATGTTTGTTGAAGGTAAACTAAATTCACGAACAAATACTTACAATGTCGGGATAGTATTATGAGGTTTTTTTCCTGGTTTTTCCCTCATAATTTACTATGGAATCACTAACAGGAGAATTTTACTGTCATCATGTCATGTGTTTGTCTTTTTAAAGACGAATTACATGCTGTGATTTTTTCTGACGAATATTCTCAAGTTAAAGTTGATTTCATGTAATCGAATGAACTATCTTATAAGTAAAGTCGTCCCAGGAGCGCAACTCAACAATATTGGCAATATCATTTTAAAGTCGTCTACTTTAAAATGCATAATGTATGTCTGAATTGTCAATATAAATGAGTCAGATAAAATTAAATTATTCGAAGAATTTTTTCACTATGTAACAAAAAAACAAAATTTGTTTAATTTACTGTTTGTATTTTGAGAACGATTTCCGAATTGGAAATTGAAACGTCAATAAACGTATTTTTATCTTTAATTGTGGCTTATTCCCAGTTATAAATAGTAATTAAATACCTTGGTGTAATACTCGTCAGAAAACTGCTTTGGACTCAACGTATGAACTACATAAGTAGTCGCTGCGAAAAAGGTATTAATTTACTACTCTGTAGAAGATCGTGGGGTGCAGATAAAATATTGCATTGAATTTTTATCGAGCCTATATAAGATATATTCTAGATTATGAGTGTTTGGTCCCATTCCAGGAATTCCTGAGGCCAGTCTGATGGCTAGAGCTGGCAGCCCTGGCATCAGAATCGGGCGCGAGAGGCCAATCACCTATCCGCCTCAAATTACTAGATTTTCGAAACTTCTACAGAGAACAACCGGACGGATCCTTTGATAACGACCTTTGGCTTACGTAAACGGACAAGAATCGGATATTGGAACATAAAAACTATGATGCAAGCATCACGCCTTGCCCAAATTTGTAGAGAGATGAAAGCATATAAAGTCGATATACTAGGTCTCAGTGAGACACGGTGGAATGGGACGGGAGAGCACGTCAACATGGAAGGCGACCTGCTGATATACTCTGGTAAAACAGATGGCGGAAGACATGAAAATGGAGTAGAAATTCTATTTAGTAAAGCCACAAAAAATTCTCTTGTGGAATGGAAACCTGTTTCAGAGCGAATAATCACTGCAAGAATTAGGACCAAATTAAGACTGGTAACACTGATTCAGTGCTATGCACCAACAGAACAAGCAACAGAACAAGAAAAAGAGGATTTCTACGAATGCCTTGAAGCAACATTAGAACAAATTAAAAGATCCGATATAAAAATAATGATGGGAGACTTCAATGCCAAGGTTGGCACTGACAACACCAACCTAGGACACGTTATCGGAAAGCATGGCACTGGCCAGAGAAACAACAACGGCGAACGCTTCATTGAATTATGTGGTAACCATGACCTAATCATTGGAGGGACTTTGTTCCCACACAAAACAATCCATAAGGTATCATGGAAATCGCCAGATAACCGCACCTACAATCAAATCGACCACGTTGCAATCAGTAAGCAATGGAGAACATCTCTCTTAGATGTCAGATCATGGAGAGGCGCAGATGCGGCCAGTGATCACTACCTGATGATGGCCGAAATTAGATTCAAAATAGCTAGGAATAGAAAAGAACTGAACAAACCTATTCGAAAAAAGTTCAACATTGAGAAACTACAAAATAACGAGACGAAAGTAGAATTCGCACGACAGCTGAGATCCAAAATCGACGAAAGACAGGACAAAAATTGGGAAACGATTAGCAAAGCCCTTGTGGAAATAAGTGAAAACGTGCTGGGCCTAAAGAAAGACGTAAAGAAAGAGTGGATTACGAGAGAAACGTGGAACAAA